GGATCATTTGATTGGGTTTGACATTTTCCTTTCATTTTCTATTTTATTGGTGGAAATGGAATCCACATCCTAAATCTATGGATAGAAAATAAATACCACTGGTGACTTGCTTGTAATCAAATTTTATATTAGTTCCTAGATTTTATTGTTTTAGTTTAGTCATTCAATTTTATTTCCGTACCAACTCCGAACTCCATTTAAAATTCAGCGGTGATCTCCTGTCCATGACGGACAATATCTCTTGTCTACTATGAACAGAAGATCAAACCTGATTTTAATCAGACGTTCATGAATTTTTTGACCCTTTTCGTTATAATCTCCTTATAAGTAGATTACCATGAAATCCAAACGCACAAGATTTCGAGAAGTAAGATGAATCTGGTCGAACTGTCCAAAAATATAAAGCTCATAATCCTACACCCGCACTGGGTATATAATAAGGGTTTTTTTTTTGACATTTAACTTTTTGAAGAAAAAAAGGATCATATATAGATTTCTGAATTCTGAAGAGGCAGATCCCTAGCCATATCACAACAATATGAAACCCAAGGAACCCATTCTCTGAAGCAAACCTTTTCAGACATCACTTATTGAATCAAAATTATGACTTCATCACACAAGTTTCCCTTGAAAGATACTCAAGGGAGAGGATTGTTTATTGTTCTTTTTAATATATATATATATATATTTCTTTTATTTATTTAAACTTTAGCAAAATCGAGAGGCGATTATTTGCTCCTAGAATAGTAATTACGTACTTGTTACTCTATTATACGGTGTAACAAAGAATTTTAACTCTTCTACAACCTAATAGTACTCGAACATACTGAGGTTATACAAGCTCATCTTGAACCACATTTGCCTGCTTCATTTATTTGTGACTTTAACTACTTTTTTTGTCTGCCTTGCTTTAAAAAAAAAAAAAAAAATCAAATTTTAAAGTATAAATTCATTTCAAAAACAGAAAAATATATGATAATAATCAGCAAATTATTTTTTGGCGCATCTTAAAACAACCTAGATGAGATTATATAAGGGAAACATTCATGGTTCAGGGATTTACTTTTAGGAAATCAAAAATCAGGTCCCAATGTTTAAAATTGCAAAAATCAGGTTTTTTTTAAAATTAATTAATTATATTTCACAATTATTATATTAAATTAAATATTTAACTATAATATAATATAATTAACCCCACCCCACCAAACTCCATCTCCACCACCCCCATTGCTCCGGCGACTGTTCTCCGGCCGCACTGAATTCCGGCGACCGTTCTTCGGCCGCACTG